ATTCTCTACTACACATTAGCTCTGTTGCACAAATTCCCAAAACCTCACTCTGTCTCTTCATCTGCAAAAATACAAGTAGGTGATTAAGGGTCTCCAGAGGATTAAGAGTAAGTAGGATGGTATGTGTTATGTGACTGGCAAGTATTAGGTGTTCAGTGTTTCTTGTTTTCTTTCCATTATTAAATGTTTCATAGTGTAAAATTCTTTTTTTAAATGTTTATTTATTTTGAGATAGAGTGAATGAGCACACATGCACAAGCGGGGGAGGGGTAGAGAGAGAAAGGGAATCCCATGCAGGCTCCTCGCAGAGCCCCGTGTGGGGCTCAATCTCACAAATTGTGAGATCATGACCTGAGCCAAAATCAAGAGTCAGACACTTAACCAAGCCACCCGGGTGCCTCGGTGAAGTGTAAAATTGTATATATATATATGTATATAAATAAAGTTCTTATTTTAATTCTAGTTAGCATACAGTGCTGTATTTGTTTCAGGTGTACAATATGATACAATTCAATTACTGTATTCAAGTACAATTCAAAGTACCATAGTATAGTAATTCAGTACATTCATACATTTTGGTGCTCATCACCAAAAGTACACTTCTTAATCTTCATCGCCTATTTAACCCATTCTTCCTCCAAACCTCCCCTGTATTACCCATCAGTTTGTTATCTATAGTTAAGAATCTGTGTCTTGGTTTGTGTGTGTGTGTGTATGTCTCATTTTTTTCCCTTTGCTTAAATTCCACATAAGTGCAGTCATTTGTTTTTGTCATTTCTGGCTTATTTCACCCTCTAGCTCCAGCCATCTCATTGCAAATGGCAAGAATCCGGGTTTTTTTGTTTGTTTTTTTAATGTTTTTTTTTTTTAATTTCTAGGAGAGAGAGAGAGAGAGACAGCGTGAGCAGGGGAGGGTCAGAGAGAGAGGGAGTCACAGACTGAAACAGGCTCCAGGCTCTGAGCTGGCAGTCAGCAGAGCCCGATGCGGGGCTCAAACCCACGAACCACGAGATCATGACCTAAGCGAAAGTCGGACGCTTAACCGACTAAGCCACCCAGGCGCCCCAAATTTCGGTTCTTTTTATGACTGTGTATGTCATTGCATACATAGACTACATCTTCTTTATCCATTCACCAATCACTGGATACTTGGGCTGCTTCCTTATCTTGGTTATTGTAAATAATGCTGCAGTAAACATAGGGGTGCATGTATCCCTTTGAATTTATGTTCTTGTATACTTTGGGTAGATACCCAGTAGTGCAATTGCTATTTTTAACTTTTTGAGGAACCCCCATATTGTTTTCCACAATGGCTGCATTCCTACCAACTGTGCAAGAGGACGTTCCCCTCTGTCCACATCTTTGCCAGCACCTGTTGTTTCTTGTGTTTTGATTTTAGCCATTCTGACAGGTGTGAGGTAGTAGCTCATTGTAGTTTTAACTTGCATTGCCCTGATGGTGAGTGATGTTGAGTATCTTTTCATGTGTCTGCTGGCCATCTGGGATGTCTTCTTTGGAGAAATGTCTATTCATGTCTTCTGCCTTTTTTAAACTGGATTTTTTGGGGGTGTTGAGTTTTATATGTTCTTTATATATTTTGGACACTAACCATTTATCAGATATGTAATTTGCAATATCCTCTCCCATTCCGCAGGTTGCCTTTTAGTTTCATTGACTGTTTCCTTTGCTGTGCAGAAGCTTTTTATTTTGATGTACTCCCAAGAGTTTACTTTTGCTTTTATTTTCCTTCAGGAAATAGATCTAGAAAGAAGTTGCTATAGCTGAAGTCAGAGACCTTACTGCCTATGTAGTCTTCTAGGATTTTGATGGTTTCAAGTCTCAAATTTAGATCTTTAACCTATTTTGAATTTATTTTTGTGTGTGCGAAAGTGGTCCCGTTTCATTCTTTTGCATGTTGCTGTCCAGTTTTCCCAACACCATTTGTTGAAGAAACTGTCTTTTTCCATTGGATATTCTTTCCAGTGGACTTTATTCTTTATTAATGGACTGTATAATTGTGGGTTTATTTCTGGATTGTCTATTCTGTTCCATTGATCCGTGTCTCTCTTTGTGCCAGTACCATACTGTCTTGATCACTACAGCTTCATAATGCAACTTGATGTCCAGAATTGTGGTATAACCAGCTTTGCTTTTCTTTTTCAAGGCTGCCATTGCTATTTGGGGTCCTTTGTGGTTCCATACAAACTCTAGGATTGTTTATTCTAGTTCTGTGAAAAATGCTGTAGTTTGATAGGGATTACATTAAATTTGCATACTGCTTGGGAAGTATGGACATTTTAACAATATTCTTCTAATCCATGAATAGGGAATGTCTTTCCCTTTATGTCCTTTCAGTTTCTTTCATCAGTGTTTTATAGGCCTTTCACCTCTGTGTTTAGGTTAATTTCTGGGTATCTTATTTTGGGTAAAATGGAAATTAGATTGTTTTCTTAATTTCTCTTTCTGCCGTTTCATCATTGGTATATAGAAATGCAACAGGTTTCTGTACATTGATTTTGTATCCTGCGACTTCACAGAATTCATTTATCATTTCTAGCAGTTTTTTGCTGGAGTCCTGGGGTTTTCTATATAAATTCTATATACCCCCCCTTTTTTTGTTATTTCATTTTGTTCTTAAGTTTGAATAAGAAATTGCTTTTCTTGGTGCCGCCTGGGTGGCTTAGTCGGTTAAGCGTCCGACTTTCGCTTAGGTCATGATCTCATAGTTCGTGGGTTTGAGCCCCACGTCGGGCTCTGTGCTGACTGCCAGCTCAGAGCCTGGAGCCTGTTTCAGCCTGTGACTCCCTCTCTCTCTGACCCTCCCCTGCTCACGCTGTCTCTATCTCTCTCCTAAAAATAAATAAAACATTAAAAAAAAAAATTAAAAAAAAAAAAATTGCTTTTCTCCCAGGAGGAACGTGGGTGGGAGGGATGGTGAAATAGGTGAAGGTGATTAAGAGTACATTTATCATGATCAGTGCTAATATACAGAATTATTGAGTCATTATATTATACACCTGAAATTAACATAAAACTACATGCTAACTCTACTGGAATTTAATAATTTTCAAAAGATTTGTAAAAATAAAAATTGAGGGGCGCCTGGGTGGCTTAGTCGGTTAAGCGTCCGACTTTCGCTTAGGTCATGATCTCGCAGTTTGTTGGTTCGAGCCCCTCGTCGGGCTCTGTGCTGACTGCCAGCTCAGAGCCTGGAGCCTGTTTCAGCCTGTGACTCCCTCTCTCTCTGACCCTCCCCTGCTCACGCTGTCTCTATCTCTCTCCTAAAAATAAATAAAACATTAAAAAAAAAAATTAAAAAAAAAAAAATTGCTTTTCTCCCAGGAGGAACGTGGGTGGGAGGGATGGTGAAATAGGTGAAGGTGATTAAGAGTACATTTATCATGATCAGTGCTAATATACAGAATTATTGAGTCATTATATTATACACCTGAAATTAACATAAAACTACATGCTAACTCTACTGGAATTTAATAATTTTCAAAAGATTTGTAAAAATAAAAATTGAGGGGCGCCTGGGTGGCTTAGTCGGTTAAGCGTCCGACTTTCGCTTAGGTCATGATCTCGCAGTTTGTTGGTTCGAGCCCCTCGTCGGGCTCTGTGCTGACTGCCAGCTTAGAGCCTGGAGCCTGTTTCAGTCTGTGACTCCCTCTCTCTCTGACCCTCCCCTGCTCACGCTGTGTCTCTCTCTCTCTCCTAGAAATAAATAAAACATTTAAAAAAATAAAATAAAAATTGAGCTTAATATTGGTAAATTGCCTTTTAAAGATTAGTTTCTTTAATGTATCATAATGAACAATATTTGAAATAGTAATAAATAATAATTGCACTGATAAATACCAAACACCATATTATGGGAAGCAGGACACAACCCAACCTGTAATGAGCTTTTTTTAGCATTATAAAATCTATGATGATTTTTATGTAGGATATATAAAATAGTTCAAATAAGTAATATTATATTTGACATTAGTATTTGTAAGGCAATAACAAAGGCACAAAAATAATTCTTGCTTCTTTATTGACCATATTTACCATCCATATACATTTCAGTTTATCAGTAATAAAGTGATACTTTATCAGTTTTAAAATACTGCAAAAAAAAAACTTGCTTTCCTCACATGTATGGAATCACTGCTGATTAGGTTAGCCTTTAACTTTTAAAAAAGACCCACATGATCCTACTTTATTCTAGGAAATATGCCTGCTATGATCATTTAATTTTTTCTTTTTAATGTTTTGTTTTTGAAGAGAGAGAGATAGAGCACTAATGGGGGAGGAGGGAGACAGAGGACCATAAGCTGGCTCTGCAGAAACAGTAGCAAGCCTGATGCAGGGCTCGAACTCATCAACTGTGAGATCATGATCTGAGCTAAAGTTGGACACTCAACTGACTGCACCACCCAGGTGCTCCATGTGACGGTAATCTCTATAGGTAATTCTGTTCATTGTGTGAATTTATTTTGAAGTTCAGAAACCAATGGAGCATTACTGTATTCATCCTAATTGGATATAATAAAAATATTCTGTAATGTCAGTTATTGGTGCTAAACAACTCAAATCTTTTAAAAATGTCAGTTATTAATGTGTTAATAATGTCAGTTAATAATAGTTAATAATGTCACATTATTTAATCCCTTATGACTTTATAGGAATTAAATAGTAATGATATTTCTGACCTTGGAAAATAACAGGATTTATTTCATGGTTTGTTAATTAACAGAATTTTGTCAAAAGAACATTGGTTTCCAGAGAGACTGGAAGCTACTTGAAATTATTGAGGCTATTTACTAATATTCTTACCATAGACGTGCAATGAGTTGGTGGGTTTTTTTTTTAACTCAGAGGTGAACCCGAAGCAAAATAGTTTGTTGCCAAATCTTTGAAACTCTGTGACCATACTTCAGTCCCAGTTGGCAGTATTAGAATTCTTTTGGTCATCCTGAAGGATGTGAGTTAGTAACTCTTGTTTTTGTTTTTAGGGTCCACCAAAATATGTGAAATCTGTTCTTAAAAAAGGAGATAAAACCAACTTTCCCAAAAAGGGAGATGTTGTTCACTGCTGGTATACAGGAACACTACAGGATGGGACTGTTTTTGATACTAATGTTCAAACGAGTAAGTCTAAATGTAATCTTATCTTTTTAGCTATAAAGCATTGCAAAATATTTGTGTGGTACATGAGCAGTTGGCTGTACCTTTCTCTTGGCTGTCAGTTTTTCCAGAAGTCTTTTGCACCTGTGACTTAATTGGAAGAGGTCTTCTGTTCACTATTGGCTGGGTGAATAAATAGGTCTTGGTCATTGGGAAGCAAAAAATAAAGAAGCTTAGTCTATCTAAACTTGGTTAACGTCCCAAAGTAAGGCTTTCGTATTTCATTATAAAAGGCAAAATAGTGTGCTATTTAAGTGGTAAATATAGATCCTTCTCCTCTGCCTTATAGACCATAACTATATGTAAAGATAAGAGTTTTCTGAATTTTTATTTATTTTCAAACGCATAGTAAGTTCTAAAATCAATTTAAAGACTTAAGTCAGTTTTTCCAATGTAACTTAATTTCATCATGCATTATAAGGAAAATTTGTTTTACAGGTTCAAAGAAGAAGAAAAATGCCAAGCCTTTAAGTTTTAAGGTTGGAATAGGCAAAGTTATCAGAGGAGTAAGTAAAAAATGGCAATGAATCAATAGATGTTGTGGCACATGCTATTTGTGGTATATGATGCCATAAAGATTTAGGATTGGGGATATGATGAAAGCAGTCTTTGGAGTCTAACAAATCAAATGCTATCATTGCTAACTGATTTGGCACAATTTTTCTGGGCCTTGGTTATGGACAACACAGCCTTCCTCAAGGTTGCTAAAACAATTAAATGAGCATAATTGCAGCGAGACTCAAATATTATTTTCTTCAATGCCTACCCTTTTAAATATTTTTTTCATCATCAAGTAATTCTTTGTCAGAAAGATTGGCTTTCTAAATTTATCTTTTAGATTCCTTTAGGGGTGCCTGGGTGGTTCAATTGGTTAAGCGTCCAGCTTCAGCTCAGGTCATGATTTCTTGGTTCGTGAGTCTGAGCCCCATATTTGGCTTTGTCCTGAAAGCTGAGAGCCTGGAGCCTGCTTTTGATGGTCTCCCTCTCCGTGCCCCACTCCCACTTGCGCTCTGTCTCTTTCTCTCAAAAAAACCTCAAAAAAATTTTTTTAAGTTTCTTATAAAATGTTACATAGTTGTACTATTTATACATGATAGAGAAAGGTAAAATATGTTTCACTGGAATACTTACTCATAGAAGAAAAAGTTTATTCTGAGTTTTTTCACTTTTCACAACCGAGGTTCAAATACCAGAAAATTTTTCAAACGTAAGCATGCCTTTTTTACCTACCCTTACATGTGAGAGGTTAACAGAAGGAATGAGAAAAGGGGAAGGTGGGCTTGAGCTGCAGTGACCACTGCAGTGTACAAAAGGGGGTAATGGATAGCAGGATTATCAGCTTCACTGAAGCTGTCATTCTAGGGCCCATTTATTATTACATTGTCTTTATTCACAACATCAAACGTTATAACTGAAATGCCTATTCAGGTGCACTTATGAGAATCCTCAGTGTTCTTCTTAATATTGTGGTAAGTTATAAAATACAGCTCAATCATAACAAGAGCCTAAAATAGCATATAAAACATCTTCAAACTAAAGGTTTGAAAATAACTTAAACTGCTACCTGATTGTACCTAGTTGATACTAACAATACACAAAACTGATCAGTTATTCTATTTCTATGATTAATTGCTTGTCTATTTCTTCTAGTGAACCATATTCTTATTTGCCATTATGTAACAGATCTCTATCCCTTGAGCTTTATGTGACTGACATTTCAACAGAGTGTATGATATCAGTCATATATTTTATCTTTGCATCCTGTTGATTTAACTGTTTTTGGTAACTGGCTTTAAGACCTAGGGTGCCTGGCTGGCTCAGATGGTAAAGCATGCAACTCTTGATCTTGGGGTCATGAGTTTGAGCCCCATATTGGGGGCAGAGTTTAGTTAAAATACATACATATATAGATGTATGTATATATGGTTTTTTGTTGTTTTGCATTGAGGAACTAAAGGACAAAGATTCACCCAAGGACATTACCTTAGAATATATTGAAATCCAGTGATGGAATGCTTTTTGGTATATACTGTTTTCTACTTTTACATGTAGTTTTTGCAAATTATCATTAGTATTTCATGTTCTTGCCTTTAGTGGGATGAAGCACTCTTGACCATGAGTAAGGGAGAAAAGGCTCGACTAGAAATTGAACCAGAATGGGCTTATGGAAAGAAAGGACAGCCTGATGCCAAGTATCCTTTTCTCCTTTGTGAGTAAAAAAAAAAACAAAACATGAAGACCATCTGAAGGTATAAAAGATGCTACCTAGGTTAATTTCCTGATCAGGAATCCCATCCAGACCTGTATTCCTGATACTTAGATGCTTTTGTATACACACCACCAATACAGACAGAAGTCAATATGTGTTATTAGTACAAAGTATCCAAACCTGAGCTAGAACAGAATTTACCTTTCTGTCCTTTTTAATTTGTTCTTGATTTTTAAGAGGTAAATGGTGAGGTTTAAGTTTTTGTCTTTGAAAGGCAATTGTTACTGTTTGAAAGATTTACTTAAAGGAGTTAAGATGTCCAGTACAAACAACTGTAGAAAATTATAGGATACAAGCATGGCTCGTGGTAATTTTATGCTGCAGTATAATTTCAGGCAATTAAATGGGTACTCAAAGCTTAGCAGTGGAACATATGTTGGGGATTACCAGTTGTGAAATTTAAGGAGACCATGGGTCCAACACAGTATAAGCATCTGTGATCACTACTAATGACAATACTTCTCTGATAGACACAGTCTGTGAAAATTAAACAAAAACAAAACAAACAAAAAAAAAAACCCTGGCTCCTGATCATTATGATCAGAACAATTCAGTAACTAAGTGAGAAGGTAGTTTTTTCTGTTATTGGTTCCATTCCCATTGGACTAGTAGGATCAGTTAGAATAACTTTTAAAAAACATAGAATTTCTCTCCAGTTGTATCAGTTAAAATTATTTAGAAGTATATAATAGCCCTTTTCTACGCCCATCAAAATTAGATGGCCCAACTACAGCAAATATCAAAAAAAAAAAAAAATATATATATATATATATATATATTTTTTTTTTTAAAGCACTGAGTAGCCATCTTCATTAGGTAGTGGCTAACTTGGGAGTATTGGTGAGGCATCCAGGTAAGGAAGATTCTAGTCCAAGCTCAACTTATCTAGTCAGCCTATACTGGTAGGTTTTGATCACCATTCACAAAGATACTTTTAGGAACCACTAGGCTAGTGTAATATGTATTAGCCTCTCAATCATTCATAAAGCCCTTCCCTTTGAAGTTAATACCCATATCTATTATGTATAATTCTAATTTTAGACTGAGGTTATTGTGAGTGAAAGAAGCAGCAATTTTTATTAAATTTGCCTTGACTTCTGCAACAGAATTCCACCAAATGCAAAACTCATTTTTGAAGTGGAATTAGTGGATATTGACTGAAATAGCAATGCTTCTGATATAAAGACATTAGCAACAATAAAACATGGCCTTGAAGAAACTTATGTAACTAGAGCTGGTTACTGTTGTAGTGGAAGAATCAACTGGAAAATTCAAGAATGCAGATATTGTTTACCCAGTCCCCAAGTTTTAATATATGTAATCCATTATAATTCCCTAAAGTTTGAAATATTTTACTACAGCTGTGTAAAATATTGGCTAAGGAGAACTGACTTCCTTTTACCTCATGTTGTAAACTAAAAGGCTCAATAAAATATATTCAGTCTCTTGATTTATTTGGTGTTAACAGATAATTGTTCTGATTAGGTTTACTAGGGCTAACACTTTATCAAAACAGGGAGTTACAGAAAAATTGTCCAAACAGCTTTGTCAGAGACACACTCCTCTTTAAATATTCCTGTATAGTGAGAAGACAAGCACAGAAACTGAGAGGAAGCAAAGAGCTAAATGGTATGATTTTAGCTAAATTCAAAAAAGTATACTTCAAAACCACTGGTCCACTAATAATGATGAATAAGGTTAATATTGTTAGGTGAACCCACTCCCAAATGAATTCATAACGATTAGTTAAGGAGTCTCAAGTTTTATTACAAAAATGAAGATGATCAGTTTGATCAAAATGAAAGCTTGCTCACAAGTTTTACATGAATATTCTAAATACAAAGTCTCCTGAAACAACATACTTTTGATATGATTTTCATTTTTTAAAAGGGATGCAAACATTTCCATTTTTTCATTTATAGTCTCTATCCCAAGACATAGTATTTAATAGTGTATCTTTTCTGCAGTTAAATCCAAATTCACAAGGATAACTGAAACAGATAAAACCTTGTCATTAAAGGTTAAAAATCCTTTTTTTTTTTTTTTTTTTTTACAGAGGAGGTAAATCCTTAATAACCAGCCCTTATAGTATTTTCAGAATCTTGTACTACACTGACATGATTTCCAGTCAGTTTTTTTCCTACCCCTTAAGGCTACAAAACTGTTGCAAATCCATTGCAAAAGAATTCTAGACCACTTAATGCAAAAAAAATCAAAAAAATAGTTCTCCAATAAAAAGTAAATTTTATAAATGGTAGGAAATAGTATCTGTGGTAAGCCCATAAGTGACATTTTCCCCTATTACTAAACAAATCATGTTACACAGAAAACAGGAAGACAAGTTATCAAATACAACAAGCTTATGCTATGTTTACATCCCTCATTAAAAAAAAAATTTCATACTTTTCATACATTCCGTCTGATATATTTTCCCATCAGGTTGGAGGGGGAGGGTAATACTGTCCATAATTCCAAGGATTCTGATAATTGTACTGAAAGAAAAAAGCACACATTAGCATGTTAGAACTGGCTGAGTTCCACTTATGAAAGTACAGTTAAGAAACCAGGCATGTGTTTACTGCTAAAATTCTAAGACTTAACAACTGCTTCTATTCCAGACTGCATTTTGTGGTTATTTAAAAAAAAAAGACTATCCTAATTTATGCTTTTCTAATAACATTTACAAACAAAAAATTAAGCGAACTCACTTGATACCAGGCACTATAATTATATGCAGCTTGATTTGCCTGTAAATCACCATCAATCATCTGTGTAGACGATGAAGTTGTATCTTCTGTGTGAGCTTTCTTTTCCTCTGGTTCTTCTGATCTAAATATAAGGAAAAGCAAACTTTCAAAACTCCCACAGATAAGTATTTTTATTTTTTATTTTTTTTTTTTTCAGATAAGTACTTTTAAAACAAACAGATGAATGTGTACATTTGTACATGTATACATTTTAGTAAAGTTCTGAACTTATTCAGTTTTGTAAAATTTTTTCAAATCATGAATATAAAGTATCTAAATCACCACAATTTGAAGGTAACATTTAAAAATATATATCTTTAGGGGCACGCCTAGGTGGTCCAGTCAGTTAAGCATCCCCGACTTCGGCTCAGGTCATGATTTCACAGTTCCTGGGTTTGAGCCCTAAGGTGGGCTCTGTGCTGACAGCTCAGAGCCTGGAGCCTGCTTCAGATTATATGTCTCCCTCTCTCTGCCCCTCCCCCGCTCGTGTGTGTGTGTGCGCACACACGCGCGCTCTCAAAAATAAACATTGTTGAAAAAATTTTAATATTTGTCTTTAAAGGCATTTCCACAATGAGATTTTTAAAGCATCATGAATCATTCTTAGCAAGAAGTTACATACCCATTTTCTGCTTTCCTTTTTAAAGAATCTTGTTCTTTTAGGAGTGTTTGATGTTCATCATAAGCATTCAGAAGCCTGAGAGGGAAGGGGGAAAAAAAAATCCTCTGGAATATACAAAAGCCAAACTGCTAAAGTTGTAAAGTTTTGGACTTCTTTCTCCTTGGTAAAGAAATATGTTGCAATGAACATACACTGATTTTTTTTTTTTTAATTAATGAACCAGGAGAAACAGCAAGCAAACCTCCTCTCAGCACCTTTTCCAATTTATTTCCTCTTGGAAAACCACTGCTCTGCACTCCTTCTCAGTCCATGTGATTCAAATGGGGCTTTAGGGATTCAGAATTGGCCAACCACAGCACTATATACCCCTTACCAATAACTGGTTTAGAGTGAGCATTTGACCCAAACCAAGACGTTTAAGAAGTCCCAGGATTTCTGAGCTACTAGAAAAGTGCCTGTTCTCTTCAGTTGAATGAAGCTGATGGGATATTGGTCAATAGCTACCTTTATCATTTTTAACATATGGGGAGAACCTGCCTAAGAAACTGTACAACTAAGACAGTGACCTTGAGGATGTGTATTTGTCCAGTGCAAAGAAGTACTGAGACCATTCTGTAATTTCTAGATTTTTGAAATCTAATTTAACAATGCTTAAAGGCATTTGACACTAGTTAGGATCAAATGTATTTAAACTTTAGCTAAGTGGTAAACTGAATTAGAACTAATATAAAAGTACAATATAATTTTTATCACTGATTAAAAAAATCATTTTTAAATAAATTTGACATGGTATGTGTATTTTGGAACTCAGAACTAGAAAAACAGTGTCACTTCAAGCCAAACTAACAGTAAATTCCTAAAGATTCTATTTTCCTTTTACCATTTCTGAAATATTTTTTTAAAGACAAAGATGGCAGCCTTTTTAAAAGTAATCATTAACCCTAACACAGATAATTAACATTTCTGTAGAAATGACCTTGATACTTTACATACATGCATATACAACATCCCTGGGCAGCCTGCAGAAATCACTGAATTCTCCTGAAACCAATACTGCACTGTATATTGGCTAACTAAAATTAAAAAAAAAAATAATCAGTTCTTACCAATACATTTTACTGCTACCTAAATTCCTAAGTTTCTGACTCCTAAGCTCATTTATTTTTCAGTCACACTCTTTTTAAATTTCAAAGACAACAATATTAGACCTGATATCCAGACCCTCTATAACGATACTTGAAAGGGCCTGTTATCTTTGTGTTAAGCCTCAGATTTGTCCACATTACTGCCAATTTCAAATATATCATTTAAAGAGCTTCCTATTGTCAATCTTGACACTGCATGTGCTCTGAACCAAACACAGCATAATCAATATCATACCTTCTACTTCAAAAACCCTCCAATCAAGCAGATGCTACTTTTACATAAACTTTAACTTTCTTCCACCATTTTATCCTCTCCTTATCAGAATCCCATAGCTAAATGAAGCCCCATCTCCTCTGTGAAGGATGACAAATCCATTCTGATCCACAGAAAGCACAGCCTTCTTAACAGTTTTGTGCCACCTCATATACTTACCTATTTCCTCTGATCATACCATCCAACTAGAAGCTAGAAGCTAGACTAGAAGCTAGAATTACATAATCCGATTTCTTTTGTGCACTTTCTTCAGTGCAAAACAAAAGACACTAAATATACAGCACAGGTGGCTAGCATCACAGACTCTGAATCAAGTTCTAATCCCAGCTGACAATGTAATAATAGCTAACTGACCTTGGAAAAACTTCCTAATCTCTTTAAGCCTCTTCTATTAAAAGAACAAGAGTACCAAAAAAAAAAAAAAAAAAGAACAGTACCTACACCCTCATTAGACTGTTAGGTATTTTACAATACCTAATTCATAGAAAACATTTACTATGTCAAGCACATATATACAAGTGCATTAAAATTTAACTTATGTTAAATGTTTTTTTAGTTTAAAATTTTACTCAACCATCAAAAATGTATACACACATAGAGACAAATCACTCATTTTATCAACAACTGTTACAATGGAAATCACTCAATTAGGGTAATAGAGAAGGGACATGCCTCATAAGAACTGTGATAGTTCCTACTACAATCAGTTAAGAATGGAACAGCAGCAATGCTCTAATCAATACTTCTACTCTTCTATTTTGCAAATATAAATCGCAAACTTGTCCTTTTACCAAATTCCCTAGAGAAAAACCCTTCCACCACTCTCAACTTTCAGCTTCTTACAATGCATGAAATGAGGCCATTAGGCATGATCTGTGCAACCAAACTGCTTCTTCCACTCAGATATAAAATGGCATCCCTATTCCAGATTAACTATATCCACCTTTCATGGCCTATTGTATTGTTTCTGTGTTTCAGGGTTCAAGCCTTGACCTATTTCCTTTTTCATAGGATTGCTGTTTCTTGCCTTCTCTCATTATTTACATTATAATGCCAAAATTTTGAAAACAATCTGAAGACAAACCATATATCCCATTAAACACATATACATTTGCAAAACTGAATTTATCCCCCCATATATATGAGGAGAAAGAAATATGTTAACTTCTAATCATGAAACTCCCATCCAAAATATCAATGCTCATTTATTATTCAAATAGATAATATATAATTAAGATCTTACTTATTAACATCTGAACCAAAATCTTCAAGAAACTCCACTTTTCTCTGAGAAAATGTAATTCTCATTTTAATAGGTAATGAACCATGTATAGCTTTGTCAAAACAATTTAGGATATTTTCTTCATTTTGTTTGAGGTCACCACTATATTCCATTTCAAGTAAATTGAGGTATAACTTTGTATTCTCCTGTGTAAAAAGCAGTATCAATTAATAATATTTCTAAAATGTTTTCATTAGAACAGATATTTAAAATGCCTTAATTTTGATGTCTAAATTTTAAAAATATTGGAAGTCATTAAAATGTAACTCCTGTTAAATGTTTTGAGCATACACAAAACAGGTGAAAAAACGAATTAGCACACTGATAAGTAATGACATCATTCTGGTATCTTCCCAACTATTCGTATTGTTAAATGACACTACG